TAGGAGTCTCACAGTCTTTCCTGCCCGGACTGGCTTTGAACCGCGATCCTCAGATCTCAGCCTCCTGAGTAGCTAGGATTACAGGCGTGAGCCACCAGCGCCTGGCAGGAAATAGAATTTTTTAAGCTTGGGAAAGAAAAAACCAGTAATCCAAAGGTTAAGTGTGTAAGTAAGCACAGTATCTTGCCACCAGAGACTTAGCTTTTTTTCTTTGTACCGATACTGCGTCTTGAACTCAGGGCTTGGGTGCTATGGTGCTGTCCCTTAGCTTTTTTGCTCAAGGCCAGTATTCTACCACCTGAGCCACAGCTCCACTTTCAGTTTTTCGTTGTTTAATTGGAGACATAAGAGTTTCTTGAACTCTGTCTGCCTAGGCTGGCTTTAAATTCTGATCCTCAGACCTCAGCCTCTTGAGTAGCTAGGATTACAGGTAGGTTACCAGCACCCAGCTCCAAAACTCAGCTCCAAAAAAGCAGTGGCTCATGCCTATAACCCTAGCTACTCAGGAGGTTAAGTTCTGAGGATTGCCAGCTTGGGCATGAGACTATTTACCTCCATTTTTTTGTTGTTGTTGTTGGTCGTGGGGCCTGGACTCTGGGCCTGGGCACTGTCGCTCAGCTCTTCAGCTCAAGGCTAGCGCTCTACCACTTGAGCCATAGTGCCACTTCTGGCCTTTTCTGCTTATGTGGTACTGAGGAATCGAACCCAGGGTCTCATGCATGCAAGGCAAGCACTCTACCACTGAGCCACCTTCCCAGCTCCCCTCCAATTTTTTTTAAACACCAAAAGAACCCAGGTAGTATAGCTGTGGCTCAACTGGTAGAGCACTAGTTTTGTGGACAAATTTCAGGGACAGCACTCAAGTCCTGAATTCAAACCCCACCCCCCCCGTGCTGGTGCATGCACACGAGCACACATCATGTTTCACAAAAGTGTATGTATAAAACATACCAACAACCTAAGCAGCCAAAATACTTAGGAAATGGCAGCAACTGGCACACAAAGATACATAGTCAAAAAAGAGCTCTTTCCTGCCTCAGGTGGAGCTGCTTCTTACCATGGCTGCTTTCTTGGCTGGACTTTCCTGCAGGACGCTGCTGAGTGGCTTCACAGCTGCAATGACGGCAGGGTGCACCTCTGCAGCCTTGCGTTTTGGCGCCAGCTTGGGAGGTGAAGTAACTTTGACTACAGATGGCTTCACATTTACTTTGGGTTTAGCTACAGAAAATAAAATATATCTGATTAATAAGACAAAAATTTTTCTTCATATAGAAATATAGGAAAAATAAGCCAGGCACTGGTGGCTCACGCCTGTAGTCCTAGCTCCTATTCAGGAGGCTGAGATCTGAGGATCGTGGTTTAAAGCCAGACTGGGCAAGATGGTCTGTGAGATTCTTATCTCCAATTAACCACCAGAAAACCAGAAGTGGCACTGTGGCTCAAGTGGTAGGTAGAGAGCTAGCTTTGAGCTGAAGAACTGCCCAGAGTTCAAGGCCCATGACAAAAAAAAAAAAAAAAAAAAAAAGCCGGGTGCTGGTGGCTCACACCTATAACCACTCAGGAGGCTGAGATCTGAGGATCACCGTTCAAAGCCAGCCCGGGCAGGAAAGTCTGTGAGACTTTTTTTTTTTCCCTTTTTTGTGAGTTGTGGGGCTTGAACTCTGGGCCTGGGCGCTGTCCCTCAAGGCAAGCACTCTACCACTTGAGCCACAGCACTACCTCTGGTTTTCTGGTGGTTTACTGGTGATAAGAGTGTCATGGACTTTCCTGCCTGGGCTGGCTTTATACTGTAATCCTTAGATCTTAGCCTCCTGAGGATTATTACAGGTGTGAGTCACTGGTGCCCAGCTAGACAAAGCTTTTTTTTTTGGGTACGGTCGTGGGGCCTGAACTCTGGGCTGGGCGCTGTCCCTCAGCTCTTCATCTCAAGGCTAGCACTCTACCACTTGAGCCACAGCGCCACTTCCGGCTTTTTGCTTATGTGGTGCTGAGGAATCGAACCCAGGGCCTCAGGCATGCAAGGCAAGCGCTCTACCACTGAGCCACCTTCCCAGCCCTAGACAAAGCTTTTGATAATAGCAATTTTAAATTCTGAGAACTCATCTAGTTTCTCTCAGTATAATGCTATGGGAAATGTTAAGAAGCTGGGTATTGGTGGTTCATACTTGTAATCCTAAATACTCAGGAAGCTGAGAAATGAGAATCACAGTGCAGGGCCAATTCAGGCTAACATATCCTAGAGACTCTTTTTTTTTTTTTTTTTTGCCAGTCATGGGCCTGAACTCTGGGCCTGGGCGCTGTCCCTCAACTCTTCAGCACAAGGCGAGCGCTCTACCACTCAAGCCACAGCGCCACTTCCGGCTTTTTCTGCTTATGTGGTGCTGAGGAATCGAACCCAGGGCTTCATGCATGCAAGGCAAGCGCTCTACCACTGAGCCACCTTCCCAGACCTCCTAAAGACTCTTATCTCTAATAAAGCCAGCAAAAAGCTGAAAGTAGAGATGTGGCTCAAGTGGTAAGTACCAGCCCTGAACAAGGGGCCTTGAATTTAAGCCCTAATAGTAGCAAACAGAAGGGAATGGGCAGTTGGAGGCTTATCTCAAGTTATAGAGTGCCAGCTGAGTCTAAGGCTCTGAGTTCAAACCCCAGTTCCAAAACAAAATAAACAAAACAACAACAAACAAAAAACAAAGAGAAAGGTGAGCAATCCATCAAATAAGTAAAACTCCACCTAACTGTTGAACACTCACCTTTACCCCTTTTCTCCAATGTCTGTGCTGCACATTTCACATTCAATATTGAGTCCCCAATCCCGGAGGTTTCTACCTCCCCTTTCTGGGATGGCTTTATGGGAAGCCGCTTGGTCAGGTGCCGGGCAATGCCTAACGCAGCTGTGAGCACTGGTTTCTCCATGTGGGTATTGCAAGAGGCAACATCTCCCCGGAGGGGCGTGAGGACAGATTTCTCCTTGTGTGAGGCCCCCCTCTCCTGCGGTTTCTGCACGAGCTTCTCTCTCAGGGTTTCACATTTCTTGGCTGGAACTTTAGTGATATCGACTCCAGTGGACTCATCTAGAGCCTATAGACACATTCAAATGACAAAACTGAAGTCCAGTATCTCTAAACAAATCTGTGATTATCACTGTACCGGATAATGGGAGAAAACTAATTTGGTTTTAAGTAGAAAATATACTGCCATATACGGAAGATTAGGATAAAAGCTGTACGACACAAGGAAAACAATTTAGACCCCACAGGATACACAATCATAACCCTAAGCAAAGACTTGTTCAAAGATACTCATGATCTAATTTTCACTGTGTAAAAGAAAATCTACATGTCCAGGAAGATTAGACAGCATGATGGTAAAACTAAAGCAAAATTTTCAATGGTTTTATAAACATTTAAAAAGGTCTCATAAATGCATATATAAACAAACTTGACAGAAATCTATGAAAATAATATATACATCTGAGTTGTAGATTAAGAGAGTTTGTATTCTTTTTAAATTTTTCTTTCTTGGTTTTTTTTTTTTTTTTGAAAGAAGATTCTGCTATGTATCTGAGGTTGGCATTAAACTTAACAATCCTTTTGCTTCCTTGCTTCAGCCTCCCAAGGGCTGGGATTATGGCTGTGCCAACATGTACGGTTTACTATTTTTTTTTTCCCTTTTTTTTTGGAGACAAAGTCTTGCTGTATAGCCCAGCCTGACCTCAGTCTTGAGATTCTACCTTAGCCTCCAGAGTGCTAGGATCACGGGTATGTGCCACCATACTTGACATTACTTATTCTTTAAAAATAGAAAGTTCTTTAAGTTGTTATGTACAAAGGCAGGGAAAATCTAAGTTTAAAAAATATAACTTTTACTGGGCATCAGTGGCTCATGCCTGTAATCCTAGCTACTCAGGAGGTTAATATCTGAGGTTCAAAGCCAGCCCGGGCAAGAAAGTCCATGAGACTCCTATCTCTGATAAACCACCAGAAAACCGGAAGTGGCACTGTGGCTCAAGCGGTAGAAGAGCTCAGGGACAGTGCCCAAACCCAGAGCTGAAGCCCCACGACTGACCAAAAAAAAATAAATAAATAAAACTTTTAATTAAAAAAAATTAGGAGGTAAAAAACACTGAAAAGCACTGATAAATTTTCTAAGCATAATGTTGATCACATTCGTAACCCCAGCATTAGGGAGGATGAGTCAGGCACACTTCCAATTCATGGTCAGTCCTCTCCCCCCCGCCCACGCACACGCGAACAAAAAAAAACCTCAAAAATACAGAATCAGTAAAAGGTTTAAGAGACACTGATGTTAAGATTAAAAAGCACATTTTAATATTCATTTAGCTTTCATTCGCCATGAACACTACATGATGATCTTAACTCACCTCATTAGCCTCTGCCACAGTAACACTCATCTGAGAAGCAACTTCACTTCCTTCCTGAAGTCTCTTCTCTTCTTTTGTACCTATACTTGCAATGAAAGACATTAAGTTATTTCACTTAGACTGCAACTTTGTAAGGATGAGTGATAGAATTTCTTGGGCTCAGAGCAGTGATTAAAAAACATGACAAAAAAAACAAAAAATAAAAAATATGACAAAATGTAGGTAAAGTTCACTGGTCCTATGGGATCTCAAGTGCATGTTAAAATATCAAGGACTCTATGCACATCATATTGTACTGCTGTTACCAAACCACATTTTGGAATCCAATGATTCCCAAGTGATCAGTAAGAAATTCTCGCCGGACGCTGGTGGCTCACGCCTGTAATCCTAGCTACTCAGGATGCTGAGATCACAGTTCAAAGCCAGCCTGGGCAAGGAAAGTCCATGAGACTCTTACCTCCAATAAACCACTAGAAAACCGAAAGTGGTGCTGTGGCTCAAGCAGTAGAGTGCTCGCCTTGAGCTGAAGGGCTGAGGGACAGCGCCCAAGCCCAGAGTTCAAGCCCCACGACTGGACCCAAAAAAAAAAAAAAAGAGTCTCACGGACTTTCTGGGCTGGGCTGGTTTTGAACCGAGATCACGATGCTCAGATCTCAGCCTCCTGAGTAGCTAGGATTACAGGCATGAGCCACCGGCGCCCAGCTGACACAAATAATCTTTAACTGAGACCTAGTCCCTTTTATTACTGGTTAATACTATGACTTTTAAAATGAAGTGGATTCCACAGTCACTCAACCCTCTCCCTCTAGTCTACAAACGCTTAGGTGGAGCCTGTACACACTACCCACAGGCAGGCAATGCACCCAAGAACAAGGAAACATACAGGCATTTTGTCTATGGACACTACAGACAATAACACTGTAGATGAAGAAAACAGAGCATATCCTAGCCAGGCAATGGTGGCTCACACCTGTAATCCTAGCTACTCTGGAGGCTGATATCTGAGGATCATGATTCAAAGCCAGCCTGGGCAGGAAAGTTTGTTAGACTCATCTCCAATTAACCACCAAAAACCTGGAAGTGGTGCTGTGGCTCAAGCGGTAGAGTGCTCGCCTTGAGCTGAAGGGCTGAGGGACAGCGCCCAAGCCCAGAGGTCAAGCCTCGTGAACAAAAAAAAAAAAAAATTCAAAGAACTCCTACGAAGGTTGTGTGGCACAAGGTCCTTTGAAAAGTTACCCAGGACAGTGATAATACAGACCTGTTCTTTTGGTGATTCGCAGAAGCCGTCTGGCTGTGGGGGTGGCCTCCAGTGGAGGCGGGGAGCTGGCACTGCTCTCGGAGCTCTGTTGTGCCCTCAGTGCCTTCTCCAGCTTAATCTCCTCCAGTGTCTTAATGTGCACTTCCTGCATGGACCGTGCTCTTCCCGCAGGCTCTTCTGGTTGTCCTGTGCTAACAACCACCTGTGGTAAAACCACTGGCTTTTTTACATCAGCGTCACTCTTTAGCTTAATGCAAGTTGCGTCCTTTTTGCATTTTTGTCTCTCGGTTTCCTGCTGCCGATGCTTTTTTTCAGCTAGGACCTCAGAGAAAGTTTTAATTCGGACAGCAGAAGAACTTCTTGTTCCTGAAGTAGAATCTTCAGCTTTTGAAGGTCCCTCTGTCTTGAGTTTAGTTTGTAGTTCTCCACGTTTTTGACTGGCTCGTTCAAGAAGAATTTCTTCTAATGTTTTGACATGGATCTCACCAACTTTATTAACTCTCTCTGTTTGGGAAGAAACATGTCATTGTACTTGGAGTTATGATCCCGCTACTCTTCTAACAGTCCAGCAGAGAGAAAGCCTTCGGGGGGCCAGTAAAGTGCTCAATTGGTACAGCTTCATGCCCTACTTTAGACTATTATGCTTTAGTAAGTAGTTTACTACTACTATACTTTAGTTTCTTAGAACTCTAAAGAGGAAACACTTCTCATGTGCATTTTTATTTATTTAATTTTTTTGTCAGTCGTGGGGATTGAACTCTGGGCCTAGGTGCTGTCCCTCAGCTTTTCAGCTCAAGGCTAGTGCTCTACTACTTGAGCCACAGTGCCACGTCCGGCTTTTTCTGCTTATGTGGTGCTGAGGAACCGAACCCAGGGCCTCATGCATGCAAAGCAAGCGCTCTACCACTGAGCCACCTTCTCAGCCTCATGTGCATTTTTATTCAGAAGCTTATTCTTAAGATCTGAAAAGCATTTCCAAGTTGGAGAAGTCTGCCATTATAAATCTTACCTTATAAATAAGATAGAAATAAAATCTTCCCATTCACAGATATAAACTTGTGCTGGACATCTAATGGTAAAATATCACCACTGTCCACATGTAGCCTACAGTCTAACAGATCAGTAATTAAACAAGCTATAATAATGCATTAAAAACTGTTTTCAAATTAGGTGCTAATAGCTCACCCACTATGAAAGGAAGTGAAGATCCAGAGGATCACAGTTTGAAGCCAGACAGGGCAAAAAGTCTGTGAGACTCCAACTTTAAAATAACCAGCAAAAAGCCAGGCTTGAGGCATGGCTCAAGCAGTAGACTACCAGCTGAACAATCAAGTCCAGTAAGCTTAAGCCCCTGAGTTCAAGCCCTAGTACCAACAACAACAACAAAAAATCACACCTAAAACTACCTTGAGCATACAGCAAGAATGGTCATTGTTGTCTAGAAATTGGCTAGGGGAAACAGCAGAAGGGATATTTCAGTGGCATTTAAAGCAGATAAAGGAGATAAAGGAGATAAAATAGGTACCATAGAAAAAATAAAATAGGAAAGGCCCAGAAGTTGGCATGATATAAAGAGATAGATTCATTCATTCATACCTCCCTCCCTCTCCTTCTGTGTTAGAGATTATATGTGTCTAAATCAATGAATAAAAGTTCCCTGTGCTGGGCACCGGTGGCTCATGCCTGTAATCCTAGCTACTTAGGAGGCTGAGATCTCAGGATCGTGGTTCAAAGCCAGCCCGGGTAGGAAACTCTGTGAGACTCTTATCTCCAATAAAACATTCAGAAAACTGGAAGTGGTGCTGTGGCTCAAGTGGTAGAACGCTCGCCAGTTGAGGGACAGCGCCCAGGCCCAGAGTTCAAGCCCCATGACCAACAAAAAAAAGAAAAAAGAAAAAAAAAAACATCCTATGTTCAGGGATTGGAAGAAATAATTCAATTTTGTGAAAGTGGCTATACTATTGAAAGCAATCTGCAGGTTCAATGCAGTCCTCAAAACCCAAAGACTGTCTTCAACAAACTAGAAAAAAACATAAAAACCACAGAAAGACAAAGGACCTCAAATAAAGCAATGCTAAGCAAAAAAAAAAAAGCAATAGAGAGGTATCATAAAATGTGATTTCAAATAATATTACAGGGTCATAGTAACAAAAGTATCAAGGTTCTGGCACAAAACCAAACACACAGAATAGAACAGAGGATACAGACACAAACACATACAACTAAGCCATCTGATTCTTTAAAAAGGTGCCAAAAACCTATGTTGGAGAAAAGATAACCTCTTAACAAATGGTGCTGGGAGACCTGGATATCCACATGTAGAAAACTGAAAAACTGAAAAGCAGACCCCCTCCTCTCCCCATCTCACTCTGCACAAAAACTAGAAGCCCAATGTATAAAGGATGTTTCCTGTTGAAGCACTGGCAATGAGCCATCCACTCAGAACAAAATCATTTCCTCTGCCTAAAACTCCAGGGATTAAAGATTTTAATGTCAAACCTGAAACTTTAGAATGATTATAGGAAAATATTGGAAGACAATAGGCAACAACCTCCTGAACAAGATGCCAATAACTCAGGAAATAAGAACTAAAATGCGCGATTGTATTAAACTAAAAAGGTTTTGCACAGCACTGACTATTGGAATGAAGACAGAACCTACAGAATTGAAGAAAGCTGGGTGCAGTGGCTCACGCTTGTAATCCTACTCAGGAGGCTGATATCTGAGGATGCAGTTTGAAGCCAGCCTAGAAGCAAAAGTCTGTGAGATTTTAACCTCCAATTAACCAGCAAAAAACTGGAAGTGGAGCTGAGGCTCAAGAGGTAGAGCACTAGGCTTGAGCCAAATGGAGCTCAGGCACTGAGTTCCAATCCCAGGACCAGCACAAAAACAAAAACTAAGAATCACTGCTAGTTATTTATTTAATAGGGAGTTAATATCCAGAATACATAAACAACTAAAAAAAAATCAGTAAAGGTGGCAATGTGGTTTAGTGGTAGAGTGCTAGCCTTGAGCAAAAGAAGCCCAGGGACAGTGTCCAGGCCCTGAGTTCAAGCCTCAGGACTGGCACACACACATACAAAAAAGTCACCAAAAAAAATCAATCTATACAAACAAGTAAAATGAAAGGACAATTCTGGAAATAATCAGTACAAGTGGCCAATGAGTGCATGAAAAGAATGGAAAATTTTTTAGTGAGGGAAATGCAAATCAAAACTACACAGCAGTTCTTTCTTACTCCATTCAAAATGGCTATGACCTAGAAAATAAAAGAACAACTAATACTAGTGAAGATGCTGGGAAAATAAATACTTTATACATTAGTAGAAAGGTAAGTTAGTAAAGCTACTATTGGAAACCAGTGTGGTGGTTCCTCAAAAAACTCACATGATCCATGTATACTGTATGGCTGGGTATTTACCCTAAGGAATCTAAATCAGCATAGAGACACTGTACCCCAATGCTATTGAAGTACTATTCCTAATAGCCAAATGTAGACTCAGTTGGGGTATCTATTGACAGATGAATAAAAAAAACCAGAAAGTGGTTAGCTGGGTGTTGATTGCTCACTTCTATAATCCTAGCTACTCAGGTGGCTGAGATCTCAGGATCATAGTTCAAAGCCAGCCTGGGCAGGAAAGTCTGTGGGACTCTTATCTTCAATAAACCACCAGAAAACCGGAAGTGGCACTGTGGCTCAAGTGGGAAAGCGCTCGCCTTGAGCTGAAGAGCTGAGGGACAGTGCCCAGGCTAGAGTTCAAGCCCATGACCAACAAATGTGACTCAAAAATGGTAGAAAGCTAGCCTTGAGCCCCACACTGGGAGCTACCACTGAGGGAAGGGTCTTGCTGTAACACAGGCCAGCCCTCCTGTGGCTACTGCCCTAGGACAGGTCTTGCTTGTTTCAAACAAAGAAATCACCCTCTGACAAACTGCCAAAAGGGAAGAAAAAAAGCTGGAGAGGGACAATACAAAACAGCTGGTCCGGGCCTGGGAAGGTGTCTCACTGGTAGAGTGTTTGACTTGCATGCATGAAGCCCTGGTTCGATTCCTCAGCACTACATAAGCAAAAAAAAGCCGAAGTGGCTCTGTGGCTCAAATGGTAGAGCGCTAGCCTTGAGCTAAGAGCTAAGAGCCAGTGTCCAGGCCCAGAGTTCAGACCCATGATTGAAAACAAAAAAACAAAACCAGCTGGTCCCTGGTACACTAGGTGGACAACCTCCTGAATGGCCTTTACTTTTCTTTACTGAACTCTCTACACCTGTGAAAATTAAAAAATAAATTAAAAAAGACTCCAAATGGAGTTGAATGTGCCAACCTTTTCAAAATTAACTCAAGCCAAGAGATGGAAAAGAAACAGTTCATAATATAAGCCCATTTATCTGCTGCTTACTCCTTTCTGTCTTCCAATTTTGCCTTTTTTTCAACTGCGATTTCTATTACTCTGGAGGAAAAACCCAAATGTGCCTCCTCCTTGAACACAAATACAGTTGCTTATGATCTCCAAAGGATGAACCCCTTCTATTAATACACACATACCATTTTGTGCATCCTGGATCATCCAGGACCTGAGATCCCATTGACACAGCTGTCTCCATCAAGAGAGAGCAAGAACAAAACTCTACCTAGGCCTATCCCCCAGAAAGTACCCAAAGACTGACTTTAACTTCCATTCTCTAAAACATTTTTGGGATCTTGCGTCCTGATGGAGGAATAAATTATAGCAGCTAGCCGTAAGTTATGGGAAAATGCAAAAGGAAATAAAATGGAAGTTCAGAAGGTCTCTGAAGAAAACATTGTAATTAAACCAGCTTATGTACCCAACTAAGGTCATGGAATGTCACAGGATGGATTCTTTTTTTTCTTTTTGGGTCCGGTAGTGGGGCCTGAACTCTGGACCTGGGCGCTGTCCCTCAGTTCTTCATCTCAAGGCTAGCGCCCTACCACTTGAGCCACAGCGCCACTTCCGGCTTTTTTCTTTTTGCTTATGTGGTGCTGAGGAATTGAACCCAGGGCCTCGAGCATGCAAGGCAAGCGCTCTACCACTGAGCCACCTTCCCAGCCCACAGGATGGATTCTTTGAGTAAACTACCCACCTAAATATTAATGATAGTTTTTAGTCAACAGGTCAACGAATAGTTCCTGGAACAATGAATCTTTTAACTACTTAGATCTGGGAACTATGGCCTAGGGATCAAATTTAATTCAGTAAATCTCTCCCCACCTTGGGACAGTGACTACCCATGGGCTGGTCCTTGGGAGGATCTTAAGACCCCTTACATTTCAAATAAAAACTTGTGCCAGAATAAAAATCATTTTCACCCTAGAGATGACCTGCTTTCATCTATTCTCTCTTTTTTTTTTGGGGGGGGGGGACCGGGTCGTGGGGCCTGAACTCTGTCCCTCAGCTCTTCAGCTCAAGGCTAGCACTCTACCACTTGCGCTACAGCGCCACTTCCGGCTTTTTTCTTTTTGCTTATGTGGTGCTGAGGAATTGAACCCAGGGCCTCAGGCATACAAAGCATGCACTCTACCACTGAGCCAACTTTCCAGCCCATCTATTTTCTATTGAAAGTGCATTCCTTTCCTAATTTATTAAAAAATAAAATAAAAAGGTCAAAACTGGTATATGTGCTATTTTACAAGCTTTTTGTATTTAAAAAACCATTATTTTTCAGAAAACAACTTTAAAGAAAATGAATTACTTTTTGTTTTTGGTGTTGGTCTGAACTTAAGAGCTTGGGCACTGTCCTTGAGCATTTTTGCTGAAGATAGTATTCTACTATTTGAGACACAGCTCTACTCTTGACTTTTTTGGTGATAATTTGAGATAAAAGAGTCTCACACTTTCCTGGCTTTGAACTGTGATCATCAGATGTCAGCCTCCACAGAAGTACAGGAATACAGGACCTGGCTCTTTCCCTTTTCTTTTTTTTTAATGGGATGGGGTGGTGTCAGTCATAGGGCTTGAACTCAGAGCCTGGGCACTGTCCCTGAGCTCTTTGCTCAAGTCTAGCACTATACCACTTTGAGCCACAGTGCCACTTCTGGTTTTCTGGTGGTTAACTGAAGATAAAAGTTTCACATACTTTCCTGTCTAGACTGGTTGAACTGTGATCCTCAGATCTTAGCCTCCTGAGTAGTTAGGATTACAGGCATGAGCCACAGGCAACTCAGCTGAAGGAAAAGATAGTTTTCTTGTTTTTGGTCAACTGTGGAGCTTGAACTCAGGGCCTAGACACTGTCCTTGAACTTTTTCATTCAAGGCTAGCACTACCACTTTGAGCCACAGCGCTCCTCCCTCCTTTTTTGGTCAGTCATGGGGCTTCAACTTTGGGCCTGGGTGCTGTCCCTGAGCTCCTCAGCTCAAGGTGAGTGCTCTGCCACTTGAGCCACAGTAGCACTTCTGGTTTTCTAGTGGTTTATTGGAGATAAGAGTCTCAGAGACTTTCCTGCCTGGGCTGGCTTTGAACCACGATTCTCAGATCTCAGCCTCCTGAGTAGCTAAGATTATAGGCCTGAGCCATCGACGCCAGCCACTCCTTCTTATAAAATTAATTTCTTTCAACCTGATAGGCCTAATGTGAGAGTTCATGATTTTTACACAGTGAGTGATCTATTACCAGATCTTGAACTCAATGCCTGGGCACTGTCCCTGAGCATTTTTTTTTTGCCAGTCGTAGACCTGAACTCTGGGCCTGGGTGCTGTCCCTCAGCTCTTCAGCTCAAGGCGAGCGCTCTACCGCTTGAGCTACAATGCCACTTCCAGCTTTTTCTGTTTATGTGGTGCTATGGAATTGAACCCAGAGACTCATGCATGCAAGGCAAGCACTCTACCACTGAGTCACCTCCCAGCTCCTGTCCCTGAGCGTTTTTTTTTTTTTTTTTTGTTGGTTGTGGGCCTGACCTCTGGGCCTGGGCACTGTCCCTCAGCTCTTCAGCTCAAGGTTAGCCCTCTACCACTTGAGCCACAGCACCACTTCCGGCTTTTTCTGCTTATGTGGTGCTGAACCCAGGGCCTCATGCATGCAAGGCAAGCACTCTACCACTGCGCCACCTTCCCAGCCCCTCCCTGAGTGTTTTTGTTCAAGGTTAGGACTCTACTACTTAAGCCACAGTTCTACACCAGCCTTTTGGTAGTAGAGATAAGAGCCTTATAGACTTTCCTTTCTGGGCTGGCTTTGAACCATGATTCTCAGATCTCAGACTTCTGAGTAGTTAAGATTACTGGTGTGAGCCACAAGCACCCATGAGACTGGGACTTGAACTATCTGATGTTTTACACTCTTTGGCAGATTCCCTACCACTTGAGCTAGGTCTCCAATCTCTCAATGACTTCTGTTTATGCGGAGGACTGAACTTGGGGGCTTATGCAGCTTAGCATTGATCTATACTCCTAAACCATTAGAACATACTATTTTGTTAGAGCAGTTACTTTAGTACAAAGCAACTATAATTTTTACCTAATTTTTGTTGGATGTCCTATAACACTATGATAATAGTTTTGCCCTAATTACAAGAAAGGACTCCATACCAGCAAGTAATCAATAACTAAAACCAAGAGAATTCATAAAGAACCAAAGCCACAAAATCCAAGTGTAGTAAGCAAACTGGAAAGAACAGATATCAAGAAAAATAATATCAGAATTTAGTTTTATGACAAATACCTGTTGTCTCCTCACTGTTTGGACCAGTTGACATACCTAAACGCTCCTTCAAAGACTTGGAAACTTGAACTATAAACAGAAAAAAAATTCAAAATACAAAGGTTAGAAAAGCTGAAATTGGGATTACAGGCACTAGCCAGTTTATCCAGTTACACTATACCTGGGGTATAAATAAGTGGTTTTGCTTTGTGTTTTACTCTTTAAATCTCTCAAGATCTTAAACTCTTCCTCTCTACAGAACAGATTTAGGTGAATCACAGATTCTCTAGAATATTTTGAAAAGCTCAGGGAAAAAAAACCCAACCATAAAAACCCCTAATTAGATCAGAAAAGCAAAAATGTACCTCTCACTAATGAAAAGGTTTGGTGTCCTTCCTGTATGTTTACATAGCACTGTGTACTTCTCTGTCACAGAACTTAACCACAACACCTATAAGATTTCCTACCTGCCAGGAGTCTATTATTAAGCTCTTGAGAGGTATGATGATGTTAACTTTATTCAACAGTGTCTGGTCAGAATCTAGCAGAGTAGACACTCAAATGTTTGTCAAATAATAATATAAACTAAAAGAACAACCTAATGTGTAGGAACAAAAGAATGATGAACTTCAGTTATGAACTTCTAACACAGTGATAGAGTAAATGTTAGAACAAACTTACCTTTCTTTTGTGTTTTGTCAGGGTTAGTGTCTGGCACCTCCACTTTCTTCCCCAGCCTCTGTGCTAGGCTCCGCTTTAATGGGGGATCACTATCCCCACCTATAGACAGGGAAAACTTAAGTTCAAGACTGTAGGACTGTAGTCTTCAAAGGGCTAGGAATGTGGCTTAGTGATAGAATTCTTGCCTACCATGCATGAAGCCCTGGGTTTAATTCCTCAGCACCAGATAAACAGAATAAGCCAGAAGTGGCGCTGTGGCTCAAGTGGCAGAGTGCTAGCCTTGAGCAAAAGAAGCTCAGGGACAGTGCCCAGGCCCTGAGGTCAAGCCCCAGGACTGGCAAAAAGCAAAAACAAAAACAAAATTTGTAGTCTTTCATTAGGTCAAGAAATAAAAGCAAAATCAGATAATGCAAAAGTTTTCTGCTTTCACATGGTATATTTGTCCCTAGTTTCCTTAGAACTCAGTGGAGTAAAAGTACCCTACAAAGAAGGAAGGGACAAAATTTAAATGCATAAATAAGCATTTATCAAGGTCACTAAAACTACAAATCGAGCCCATAAGCCAACCATAGGTTGAGTTTACAAATAAGAATGTGAAAAATAATCATACTTAAAAAAAAGACTTTTAACTTGCAAGTGCTGAATTCATGAAACAACAAAATTACAAAATTTTATGAAATTTGTTTCTATAAACAGTACCTTCCTTTAATAACAGGAAGGAAATCTAAGGTTCTAATTTTCTTACCCAAGTTATCAACTAGTTTCTAACAGACCAAGACCTGAATCAAATTTCCTCATCCCAGTGTACCGCACCATACATGTCCAATATAAGTCATTTAAGGGTTACCAGTTTTTGCAGTGGTATAGGGACTTGTGCTTTCTAGGCTGGTATTCTACCACTTGAGCCATACCTCCAGCCACCCATTTTGCTGGTTAGTTTAGAGATGAAGTTGAGCCAAATTTTTTTGCCTGGGGATGACCTTGAACCTCTTCATCCTCCAGATCCCAGCCCCCTCCCCTGAGTGGCTAAGATTATAGGCTTGAGCCACAAGTGCCCACCTTTAAATATCATTAGTTAAAAAAATTTTTTTTGTTGTTTCTTTTAGTGCTGGTTCTGAGGCTTGAAATCAGAGTCTTGTGCTGTCCCTGATCTTTTGCTAAAGGCTAGTACTCTACCACTTGAATCATAGCTCCACTTCTGTTTTTTGTTTTTGGTAGTGTATTGGAGATAAGAGTCTCACAGACTTCCTGTCCTGGCTGGCTTTGAATTGTGATACTCAGATCTCAGGCCTCCTGTATAGCTAGGATTATACAGCAAGACAATGTCTCTAAAAAAATTTTTCTAGGGTTGGGATTGTTTCTTGAAGTGCTGATAAAGGATTTCTAGGGGGCTGGGAAGGTGGCTCAGTGGTAGAGCGCTTGCCTTGCATGCCTGAGGCCCTGGATTCAATTCCTCAGCACCGGAAGTGGCGCTGTGGCTCAAGTGGTAGAGTGCTAGCCTTGAGCTGAAGAGCTGAGGGACAGCGCCCAGCCCAGAGTTCAGGCCCCACGACTGGACCCCCCCCCAAAAAAAAGAAAGGATTTCTAGGCCCTCCTGTTGGAAATAACCTATACTCTATTCATTTACATATAACTGATTAAATTAATTACATCTTTCTAAATAAATTTAATAAGCTCCCACTGCAGAAAACTTTCACAGGCATTTCTTATGATTAGATTCAAAGTATACACAGGTATTTTGACACAACGAATCTGTAGTAATTATAGGCATAATTTAATTGTTGAAAGGTTTTTACTATTTATGGCAATAACTGTCCAACAGATTCAATATTTCCTTCTCCTCCCACTTCCCTCCCCACTCCCACCTCCATGCTGTCCCTCAGCTATTCAGCTCAAGGCTAGCACTCTAACACTTGAGCCGCAGCACCACTTCTGGCTTTTTCTGCTTATGTGGTGCCTGGGCATCGAACCCAGGGCTTCATGCACGCAAGGCAAGCACTCTACCACTGAGGCATCTTCCTAGCCCAATATTTTCATTTTCTGACTGGCTGAAAACTTGAAAGCAACTAAGCTCAGAACATTTTTTTGGTTCATGTTGTTTTAGTAGTGCTGAGGATTGAACCCAGGGACTTGTGTATGCTATGCAAGTGCTCTACCACTGAGTTACATCTTGATTCTTTGAGACAAGGTCTTACTATGTTATCTCAGGATGGCCTTAAACTTTTTTTTTTCTTTCCCTGTCTCCTAAGTGATAAAATTACAAGCATGTATCACCATTCCTGGACAGTTTAGAAGACAGGGCAATGAGAATATAGAAAAAAAACCCCAAAAAACATAAAATGAAGATAATGTTGTATTTTAAATACATTCTAAGTAGTATTAAAGAGTTTCTAGTTAGGAGGTGGTGGCCCATGCCTATAATCCTAGCTACTCAGGAAGCTGAGATCAGAGGATCACTGTTCTAAGCTATGAGACACTTATCTCTTATTAATAACCCAAAAGCTGGAAATGGTAGAGTGCAAGCCTTTAGCAAAAAAACTGAGGGACAGCACCCATGCCTTGAGATCAAGCCCCAGGATGGGCACACACACAAAAAAGAATCTCTAAAGTCATGACAGGCACCAGTGCCTCACAGTATAAATCCTAGATACTCAGGAGGATCAAAGTCAGTGGAGGCAGGAAAGTATAGGTGAGCAAGTCTGAAGCCTAAGTTCACACCCTGTATCAGCATAAATGACAACAAAAAAGAAACCTATAAACTCAGGTTTTCAAAATATTTTGTTTTTGCCAGTCTTGGGGCTTAAACTCAGAGCCTAGGTGCAGTTCCTGAACTTCTTTTGCTACCTCTTGGGCCACAGCTCCACTTCAGGCCTTTTTGGTAGTTTGAGATAAAAGTCTCACTTTCATGCCCAGGCTGGCTTTGAACCTTGATCCTTAGATCTCAGCCTCCTGAGAATACAGGCATTAGCCGGGCACTGGTGGCTCACGCCTGTAATCCTAGCTACTGAGGAGGCTGAGATCTAAGGATTGAGGTTCAAAAGCCAGCTTGGGTAGGGTAGGAAAAGTCCGTGAGACTCTTTTCTCCAATAAACCACTAGAAAACTGGAAGTAGTGCTGTGGCTCAATGGGTAGAGTGCACCTTGAGCTGAACAGCTCAGGGACAGCACCCAAGCCTGGAGTTCAAGCCCCAAGACCGACCAAAATAAATAAATAAATAAATAAATAAATACAGTTCAGTAACATAGTAAATTACTTCCCTAAAAAAGCAACAAAAGGGCTGGGAAGGTGGCTCAGTGATAGAGCGCTTGCCTTGCATGCATGAGGCCCTGGGTTCGATTCCTCAGCATCACATAAGCAGAAAAAAAAAAGCTCAAGTGGTAGAGTGCTAGCCTTGAGCTGAAGGGCTGAGGGACAGCGCCCAGGCCCAGAGTTCAGGCCCCACGACCGGAACAACAACAAAAAAAAAAAGGCAGTAAAAGACTGAATAAAACAAATTTAAGAAATGAAATTTAATTAACTAGACACTTTCCCTGTTCTAAAATACACTAAGTCTATTCAAAGAAATAAAGATATTCTTTACCTTCCTTTTTAAAAAAGCTGGTCATGGTCAGAATCTAATTTAATTATAACTAGTAACTTCAATGAAAAATTTAAGGAAAGCTCACATGAAAACCATGAGGAAATTTTACAAGTGCTTTTGGTCAAGAATACTAAGAGAGCAGAGAATCAGCACGAATGGGATGTGTACAGAGTGTGCAGAAGCAAGCATGTTATTGAACAAACAAGCACAAACAAAAGGCATGCACTACATTTCTTACCCACTGAAAATTTTCGTTTTCCCAGTCTCTCTGTAAGACTCAATCTAACCAAGGGTTCTTCTCCTGAAATGGCAAAAACAGAATTTCTGTATTTTAGCTATGAGAATTTCCCTATCATTAGATTTCTGTATTATTGAGTAGAAACTATGTGCCGACAATAGTATGAGCCCACTAGGAAGCCACTTAAAAATCAGGTCTTAAGACTACAAATAAATAAAGGAAGACTGGGCAGGGGGAGAGGAAGAGGGGGTCAAATGCAGAGTTCAAAGGAAAGCAATATTACAGTATTATTGAAAGCAGCCAAGTATAGGAAGCAGCCAAGTATAAGACAGCTTATGTTCTTAACCAACTTTTTATAAAACCCAAGCTATACCTTTTGCACTTTGAAAAGTTATACTTTATCACTTGAGCGAGAGAGCTTTCTTCTGGTTATTTGTTGTACAAAGGGCACATTTAAATATGTACAATCCCTATGTCATTCCTATGACATTTTTTAATATACTCAAAGGGTTTATTAGAATTCTTTACCCACAATGAGGAGCCAATAAATTTGTTGAATTAATGATTATAAAGAATACATAAGGGGATGGGAAGGTGGCTCAGTGGTAGAGTGCTTGCCTTGCATGCCTGAGGCCCTGGGTTCGATTCCTCAGCACCACATAAACAAAAAGAAAAAAGCTGGAAGTAGCACTGTGGCTCAAGTGGTAGAGCGCTAGCCTTGAGCTGAAGAGCTGAGAGACAGCACCCAAGCCCAGAGTTCAGGCCCCACGACCGGACCCAAAAAAAAAAAAAAAAAAAGAATACATAAGTAACGGATGCTTGAATAAAATTTCAACTTTTTATTTACTTTTTGTCATTCGTAGAACTTGAACTCGGGGCCTGGGCACTGTAAGCTCTTTTTGCTCAAGACTAACTCTCTACCACTTTGAGCCACAGCGCCACTTTTGGTTTTATGGTGGTTAATTGCAGATAAGTCTTACATATTTTCCTGCCTGGGCTGGCTTTGAACCATGATCCTCAGATCTCAGCCTCCTGAGTAGCTAGAACTACAGGCATGAGCCACCAGCGCTGGCTCAACCTTTTAAACAGAAGCATTAAATGTACCCACTTTCCTTTTCATCCTTGTATCTGACCAACATATTAAAGCCTTCCTGCAAAGCCACCAAAAGTTAGAGACAAAAAAAATAACACAACCAATAACATGGAAGTAGGAATTAAGCCCTGCCCATCCCTCACCTTGTTTGCTTGACATAGTTACTGTCCTCACCACAGTCCGGACATTCTCTTTTTCAGGACCTGGAATGGGCTGAGGCTGGAGTAAAAGACTGGAAACTCCTGAAGAACCTTCTGAGTAAGAAAGTCAAAGAACAGCAAATAACTTACAGAAAAATGCTATCACAAGTCAAGGGATTTTGTTTCTAAAACCCAGTGTATATAAACTATTCTATGACTATAGTAGATCAGTTTTTCTTTATCCTCTTATCTAAAGTGAAGGGGTAATTGGCTAGGGAAGACTTAGACATAATGTGAAAATAAGCTGCAAAATTGTTTTGAGTAATTTAGGCACTCAACCCACTTTTATTTACCAATAAGGCTAACATTATTCGAAAGATAACCTTAGAAGTGTATTAGGCAATTCACCTGTTTCTAACATTTAATCTTGTGTAAAACAAAACTGCAAGGTTCCTATAGAATTAGCTTAATAAAGGTCTTACAGGCAGAGGCAATGGCTCAAGTGCTAGACTGCTAGTCTAGCAAGCATGGGGCCGAGCTGAAACCCAGTGTTGGTCTCCAGCAGAGTTCTTAAAACCAACGGACTCCACACACATTACATTCCCCCATAATTTTTAGGATTAAAAATATATATTAACCAGGTTTAGGGAAGCTCCAGAATAAAAACCTAGAAGAATCTTCATAATACAATTTTACTTTCATAATACAGTTCTTAGCTAGGAGGAGTGGTGCTACCTAGACTACCAGTATAGGTAACTGGGAGTTAGAGGCAGGAGTATCACAAGTTCCAGGCCAACCTCAACTGTCTTCGTACATGTTCAAACTGTCTATGTACATGTACAATGTTCAGTAGTTGTATTTCTCAAGATAAACAGATTCTTCATCATCTATGAATAACTGAAGAGTAAGGAGACTGAAACAGATCTGCAGGAAGTCTGTATTTCAGTTCCAACCAAGTCATAGAAATCTCTATTTTGGCCACTGCTTCCAGATGTGTCTTTGTTCTTCTCTGGTAACACACAACCATCTGTGCCAAAAAATGATGACTTACCACCTTGCTTCTTGGATTTTTCCTTCATTTTCTTTGATTTAATTTCCTCAAGAGTTTTTATTCCAAAATTCAAACATTCACCTGAGAAAACCAAATAAAAACCACCTGAGGAACTAGAGCCTTTGTACCTTTTTTTTTGGGGGGGTCCAGTCGTGGGGCCTGAACTCTGGGCCTGGACGGTGTCCCTCAGCTCTTCAGCTCAAGGCTAGCACTCTACCACTTGGGCCACAGCACCCCTTCCGGCTTTTTTTTTTTTTTTTTTGCTTATGTGGTGCTGAGGAATGGAATCCAGAGCCTCAGGCATGCAAGGCAAGCGCTCTACCACTGAGCCACCTTCCCAGCCCTAGAGCCTTTGTACTTTTTGCCTTTTACCTGCTCAAAGCAGGCATTCATATTTTGAGTGAATTCTTGAGAAAGCATATAAGTAAATATGTGTGTGAAGTATGAATAAAGTGAAAAGAAAATCAATGACTATGAATTACATTTCAAAGGTAGTTAAAACATTGTGGGCAAACTGTTATGTGTAAGACTTAGTAACAGCCTCTTTTCTTACCTTGTTTTAAATTTGCTCCAGGTTTCCGGGCAGAAGCCAGTCGTAATCCATTATGGACTTCAGGAGTTGGCTGCATGGGGGGTGTTTTGGTATCATCGCCCTCCTCAGAAAACTGATCTGTATGTCAACATTTAAGGAAAATAGGTAATTAAAAAGAGCTTTATTAGAGCTTTACTCAACATTTTCCCATTTACTAAGAGATCCTGTAAGAAGCAAGCTCCAACTTTACCATCATCATCTTCATCATCATCTGCAGCATTGATTACCACTGGTGGATGTGTAGGGCTTGGCACATTTTCAGAACTTTCTACTTTCATAACGCTCCTCAGCTGAGGAGAGGGGTTAGACTGCACAGACAGTTTGTTCTGCTGAACTGTGAGTTGACTGGCCTTCACTTCCTCTTCTGGTGACTCTGGCACAGTGGGCAACACAGCTGTACACACACAAATCCAGACATGAATTAAACGTAGAAAGCATAATTTTTCAATAAAAATCCATCTCTTAATGGTTGTTTGGTATATTGCCATTATAATCATTTGTGTCTTTTAATCTAATTTTCCTGTTTATATTCTAAATTCTAGGGAGGGAAAATGTGCTTTTAGATAACACAACTCGGAAGTGGCACTGTAGCTCAAGTGGTAGAGCGCTAGCCTTGAGCTGAAGAGCTGAGGGACAGTGCTCAGACACAGAGTTCAAGCCCCAAGACCGAGCAAAAAAAAAAAAAAAAAAAGTATCTTAGATAACAGAACTCTTCACTATACAAAACCACAATGGATCCTCAAAATACAGAATAAACAGAAGACTAGGTGTAGTATTTATTTGCAACTTCTAGACATTTAATTTAAATTTTGAATTCTAGGATTTCTACTCAAGCACAGGAACTTAAAGGATACATAACATTTACTTGAACCAAATCAGAAAACAGTGACATACTTTTCTTGTATATGTGCCTGTCCTAGGGGCTGAGCACTATCCTTGAGATTTTTCCTCAAGGCCAGCGCTCTCAAGGCCACAGCTCCATTTTCAGCTTTTTTGGTAGTTAATGGAGATAAAGAGTCTGTCCTGGCTTCCCAGCCAAGACTGGCTTCAAACAGCAATCCTCAGATCTCTGCCTCCTGAGTAGCTAGGATTATAGAAATGAAAACCACCAGATGTGGTTTTCTAATGACTCATTCCACTAAGAAATATTATTTATTTATTTTTGGTCCAGTCGTGGGGCCTGAACTCTGGGCCTGGGCACTGTCCCTCAGCTCTTCAGCTCAAGGTTAGTGCTCTACCACTTGAGCCACAGTGCCACTTCTGGTTGTTTTCTTTTTGCTTATGTGGTGCTGAGGAATCGAACCCAGGGCCTCATGCATGCAAGGCAAGCACTCTACCACTGAGCCACCTTCCCAGCCCCACTAAGAAATATTAAAAGAGACTTTGGAAACAAATATGTTCCTGTTAGAGTGTTAAGTTTTATTTTGGATGACAGCTTACAGTAACATTTGGAAATTTTTTGCGGAGAGTTAAGATAGTTATGGGCCATCTGTGGTTTCTCAACTATTCACAGCTGAGGTAGCACAAAGTGACCACAAAGCCGGGCTCTAGTGGCTCACACCTGTAATCCTAGCTACTCAGGAGGCTGAGATCTCAGGATTGCGGTTCTAAGCCAGCTCGGGCAGGAAAGTCTGTGAAACTCTTATCTCCAATAAACCACCAGAAAACCAGAAGTGGCGCTGTGGCTCAAGTGGTAGAGCACTAGCCTTGAGCTGAAGAGCTGAGGGACAGCACCCAGGCCCAGAGTTCAGGCCCATGACCGACAAAAAAAAAAAAAAAGAGAGAGAGAAAAGAATGTTTAAACTAACACTTTTGTCTATGTTTGTAATTCTAGCATACAAAGTTCAAGGCTGGCCTAGGCTAGGTGACATAGCAAAGCTTTATCTCAAAAACAAAAGGTGGGATGAAGAGAGAAGGGTAGGGGAAGAGAGGAGAGAGGGCAGGAGGAGGGAACTGCTCTCCTTGGTTTGCTTCCCAGAACACAGAATACTACCTAATAATGAGAAGGTGTAGATGATTTACACTTAATACCACAGAGAAGAATAAAAGACAACAGGGGAGACTATATGATTCTACTTATCAAGCTTAGAATAGTCACCATTTCTCTGTAAACAGGACAGTGACAGGCTTTGGGGACATGGATAGTGACCATAAAGGGGAAGATACAAATACTGAGCACTCTACTACTTGAGCCACAGCTCCATTTTGATGGTTAATTGGAAATACAGAGTCTCATGGACTTTCCTACCCCAGCCGATTTCTAACCAAGATCCTCAGATCTCAGCCTCCTGAGAAGCTGGGATTACAGATGTGAACCACTAGCACTTGGCCCCAATCCATTGATTAATTTTTTTTTTTTTTTTGGATAGGGCTTTCAACTCACAATGTTCCTGAGTCCACTTCCAGAGTGCTGTACTATGATCTTCGGATTTCAGTCTCCTGAGTAGCTAGCATTATAGGAGTGAGCCACAAGTGCCCAGCTTCAGGTTAGTCTTGAGATAGTCTAGTTTTATTTTTGCCCAGGCTGTCTTGGATCTTGATCCTCCCATTTATACTTCCCACTAACTGTGATTAACAGGTATGTTTACCACTACTCCAGGCTCTTCTTTGTGGGCATTGGGGCTTTCAAGCTTTTTACCCAGTCTGGCCTTGAAATGCCAATTGCTGCTTCCCAAGTGGCTAAGATTACATGCCTAAACCAATAGTGTGAGGCTCCTTTGAATTTTTAATAATTCAAAAGCACAGAGTCCAAATGTACACATTTGAGTCTCAGTATTTACAGTAATTTTGGGATACTACAATTAGTGCCACTGTTCCTAAAGGAAAATGCAGAGCCAGGTTCCAGTGGTCCCCTGCCGCCACCCCCTCCCCGCTTCTTTTTGGTGCTAGTCATGGGGCTTGAACTAAAGGCCTAGGCACTGTCCCTGAACTTTCTGCTCAAGGCTAGAGCCTCTACCATTTGGGACACAGCTCTACTTTCAGCTTTTTGATGGTTAATTGGAGATAAAAGTCTCATGGACTTTCCTGCCTGGACTGGCCTTGAACTGTGATCCTCAGCCTCCTAAGTAGCTAGGATTACAGGAGTAAGCTGCTGGTGCCAGTGTCCAACTTCTTCCTTTTTAATGTGCAACACCTTGTTATTGGTTCCATAATATGAAACTCACAAGCAGCAGGACTCCAACTTATGCTAAAGCTTACCTAATATTTGTATTTTCTCTATAAAGCATACCACAGCTTCCTTCTAATTAAAAACACCATATAACCATAACTCAGCACTATGTTCTGGTACTATCTTAAATAACAAAATCAATAAAAAGCTCCCAACTGCAAAACAAATCATAGCACTTAGTAGTTTGGGGAAAAAAGAGGGTGACACTTGATTATGAGAGCTTAAACAGGAAGGCAGAATTGCTACCTTGTTTATCTAAAATGAAAACACAGATATCAGAAATTCAATCTTTTTGCTGCTTTGAACATGTCTTTGAATGACCACAAAAATAGACTGGATTGGAGTAGCTATTATGACCCAGGAGATACAAACTACATAGTCAGTCTCTTCTTTCTTTTCTGATCTCCTTCTTAATTCAGTCCAAAGTCATTAGGTGGACTTGAGGGCATCAAACATTTATCTGAGGGAAGAAAAACAAGGAAGCCTATAGCAAGATGCTGGATTAGAGTTAGATAAGATGATGTTGGAATTTACTTTGTGCTTGCTTAATTCACATTGTGCTTGATTATGCAAGTGTTCTACCACTTGAATCATATCTGCAGCCCTTTTATTTTTGTGATAGGATCTCTCTAACCTTAGCTAAATTTGCCAAGGCTGGCCACGAGATTCTGATTCTCCTGCTTCTGCCTTCCCAGTAGCTAGGATTATAGGAATGTACCACCATGCCCAGCTTGGCAAAAAAAAAAAATCTTAACCAGGTAAGCAAGGTTAAAAGAACAAAACTAGGAAGACTAAAATTGTATGCTGATGGTATTCACTGGAGAATATCACTTTTGTGATATTCCTGCGAAAGATACACATTCTCAACTTATGAGAATCAAATAGACCTAAAGTTTAAAACATTTTACAAAACAGCTGCCTTATAACTACCACAAATGTCAAGTCCACTTGAACCTGGGCTTGTTTCTTCACATAATAAAAAGTATCACTGAGGGCTGGGAAGGTGGCTCAGTGGTAGAGCGCTTGCCTTGCATGCCTGAGGCCCTGGGTTCAATTTCTCAGCACCACATAAGCAAAAAAAAAAAAGAAAAAAGCCAGAAGTGGCACTGTGGCTCAAGTGGTAGAGCGCTAGCCTTGAGCTGAAGAGCTGGGGGACAGTGCCCAGGCCCAGAGTTCAGGCCCCACGACCGGACCCCCCCCCAAAAAAAAAAGTATCACTGAAACTGTTGGCAATATTTGCATGGAATCTGAAGATTAGTTAAACCACTGTCAGTTTTCTAATTTTGGTGGTTGCATTATCACTATGTAGAAAAATCTCTTTCTTGAGAGGGGGTAAGGGAGAGTGATAGTTTAAAACTTCAAAGCTTAAAGTGATGAGTTTAAAGGTAGACACTGGTGGCTCATGCCTGCAATCCTAGCTACTCAGGAGGCTGAGATCTGAGAATGCATTCAAAGCCAGCCCCGGCAGGAAAGTCCCTGAGACGCTTATGGCCAATTAACCACCAGAAAACCAGAGGTAGCTCAAGCTACTTCAAGAGCATTAGCCTTGAGCAAAAGAGCTCAGGGACATCATCTAATACTCCTGAGTTCAAGCCCCATGACAAAAAGAGTTTATATTGGAATGCATTGTATGCACATATGGAAATGCCACAATGAAACTATTCCTTATACAAATAACATATGCATAGTGAAAAATAACATAATAAAAAAGAGTGTGTTTCTTGTTGCAAATACTCAAGTTAGATGCAATGGTCTATGCCCTTTAATCTCAGTGTTTAGGAAACTGACAGAGGAAGAAGATAAGTTTGAGGCCAGCCTGAGCTACAAGGACCATGTCTCAAAAACAAAAACAAATAACAATAACCATACACACATACACACCCAAAAGCAAGCTTACATCAATCTCCATGTGGCGAAACCTGCACACCTGTCGAAAACAGCGCCCTTCTTGCCATAATGTGCAAACAGTTTCATTTCCTAATGCAGCTTCACAGTGACGGAAAGGGCAGCTGTCACCCTGTTAAAGAAAACAGAAAACAACTGTAGCACTAAAATATATCCAAGGTAAAATGTTCACAAGAGTTTCCTAGAATCTAGATAAACCTAAATTATCAAGGAAAAGTGAGATGCAATGACAAGGAAAATCTGGACCAACGAAATTTTACAATATCGTATAACCTACTTCTTGACAATATGCTTCACCTGTGACACAGCTGAAAGGTTTAAAAAAGACAAAGATTGTCAGGTAGACACTCTATCTTACTGGTCATCTTCAAAACTGCTTCAGACAAAGATTCCACTATTTAAAAGCCTAGTTACTTTTAAAATATGCATACTGGGCTGGGAAGGTGGCTCAGTGGTAGAGCGCTTGCCTTGCATGCATGAGGCCCTGGGTTCGATTCCTCAGCACCACATAAGAAAAAAGAAAAAAGCCAGAAGTGGCGCTGTGGCTTAAGTGGTAGAGTGCTGGCCTTGAGCTGAAGAGCTGAGGGACAGCGCCCAGGCCCAGAGTTCAGGCCCCACTACTGGACCCAAATAAATAAATAAATAAAAGATGCATACTTTCAAAACTTTTACCAAAATGCACAACTGTTGAAGCATTCACCTCTCTATGAAAGTATGTACTAGTGTCATCTTCTTTATACAGTTGTATATGGATATTTTTTATGATTTTTCATTTGCAAGTATCAAGGTTTCAAAGGTTTAGTAAAAAATATTCTGCAGATTACATTCCCAAGAATATAATGTTTACACAAATGTATATTCCATGTTTTAAAGCTCAATCATATTTTACTTTACATACACACTTCAGTTAACATACAACACTCCAAATTGGTATTTTTGATCTCTCAAAGTAAAAAAAAAAAAAAAAAAATAGATTTTTCGGTTTGAAATGGTTTTGTCAGGGCTAGGAAGGTGGCTCAGTGGTAGAGCGCTTGCCTTGCATGCATGAGGCCCTGGGTTCGACTCTGCAGCACTACATAAGCAGAAAAAAAAAAGCCAGAAGTGGCGCTGTGGCTCAAGTGGTATAGCACTAGCCTTGAGCTCAAGAGCTGAGGGACAGGGCCCAGGCCCAGAATTCAGGCCCACGACCGCCCCTCCCCCCCAAAAGAAATGGTTGTGTCATAATCATCTCATATTTGGTTTTCATTTATTTATTTTTTTGGTGGGTTATGGGGCCTGAACTCTGGGCCTGAGTGTTGTCCCTTAGTTCTTCAACTCAAGGCTAGCGCTCTAACACTTGAGCCATACCACCTTCTTCTGGCTTTTTCTGCTTATGTGGTGCTGAGGAATCAAACCCAGGGCCTCATGCATGCAAGGCAAGCACTCTACCACTGAACCACCTTTCCAGCCCTAGCTTTTTTAATTTTTGGCAATAAAAGAAATTGGGGTATCTTTGGAACTGTTAAATATGGTTTAATCCTTCTCTTTCTAGACTCTCAATAGATGGGATAACTAAGCTATCCTAAAAACTAAAGAAGTGGGCATTTTAATTGCTTATTTTTATTTATTTTTTGTTGGTCATGGGGCTTGCTCTGGACTCCTCAGCTCAGAGAGAGCACTCTACCACTTGAGCCACAGTGCCACTTCCAGTTTTCTGGTGGTTTATTGGAGTTAAGAGTTTCATGGACTTTCTTGCTTGGGCTGGCTTTGAACTGCAATCCTCAGATCTGAGCCTCCTGAGTAGCCATGATTATAGGCATGAGCCACCAGCGCCTAGCTTAGTTACTTTTTAACCAACACTGCTCTTGATAGTTTTACAAACCAAAAGCGTTATAACTACCATTTCCTTTCAGTTAGATGAGTGATCAGATAGATGACTGATCAGAAATTTTTGTTGCATTTCAAAATCTAAATAAACTAGACTTTATCCTTTTAAAAAAACCTGTAAGATCTTAATTGTGCTCTCTGCCACTAAGCTACTCTCTCAAACACAAAGTCATCAATTTTATCTATTTATATTGAATTATTGTGCCAGTAACTAGGGCTTGAACTCAGGAATTAGGTGCTGTCCCTTAGCTTTTCTGGTCTAGGCTGGAGCAATACCACATGAGCCACAGCTCCACTTCTGACTTTTTGCTGGTTAACTGGAGCTTACCTGCTCCGGTTTGGCTTTAAATTTGAACCTCAGATATCAGCCTCTTGAGTAGCTAGGATTACAAGTGTGAGCCACTGGTGCCCATATAGATAATTTAAGAAAGTTAGACATTATTACATCAAGATAATTTAAGAAAGTTATTGTTACTCATGCTTATAATCATAGTCTTAAGGCAGAAACCAGAAGATTAAAAGTTAGGCATAATGATAAAACCTGTCATCCCACCTATGGGAAAAGCATAGAGAATGGTGGTTCAGCCCAGATCAGACATAAATAGGCAAGCTTATTAAAAAACAAACAAAAGTAAAAGTAGGGCTGGTGGGTATGGCTCAAGCAGTAAAATACCTACATGGCAGGTATAAAGTCCTAAGTTCAAATCCCAACACCAGTCCCCTCCTCCCCCCAGTTACCTTAACATACAAATACATAGAATCAGAAACAAAGTAACAGGGCCTAGGGATGTAGTTGAGTAGTACAATGCTTGCCTAGCAAGGTGAAGACAGAAAGGAAGGAAAGAAAGGAGACAGGCAGGCAGGTAGGTAGATATACTAAACAGTTTAAGATGACTTGATCAGAAATACAGGACATTCTGACAAAGTAAAAAAGTCACAAAAGCATACTTTTAGAAAGGTAGAAACTACAGAAGGAATTCATTTAGTGATACCAAGTCTTACTTTGGTACATGTTGAATAGAAAAAAAAATAGCAGTCTTCTCCTTGGTTAGGCATGATGGGAACAATCTTGACCAGAAGTGGCTTTTTGAAATAAGCCACTGCTTCCAAATGGTAAGGACCAGCTCAAAGTCCTCTTGAAATGGGTTTAATCTTCCAAATGACAACTCAATCACAGAATTCGTCTTTAAACATAACCCTAAAATAAGGAGACAGCAAATTAAAATATTTTAAACATACTGTTCCAATTTCATCCTCTAAATCACTCTGAGATCACAGTTGAAAAATACATATTAGCATGCATATGTCTATACAAAGACTCATGAACAAGCTGAATCTGAACAGTGTACAGTGCCACTGATAATGTAAAATTCTGTGAAGGATAGCCAGGCTCTTTTTTCTTCTGTATTCTCTGTGGTTTTTACACTGCCTCAGCATACAATCTAAAGAGCATTGCTAACTAAATATGATCTACAATTTATTTTAGTGGAACCTGGATTACTTTATATTTTATATTATTTTCAACTCAATGAAAAAATTCAAATACATTTGTTACGTCAAAAGAACTCAAAATTATAATTGGTGGGAAAACCTTATTCAGCTAGAATAAAATTGGTAAAATACTATCTATGGAGCATCAATTATATACAAAGAAAAAAGGAAGTCTTCAGGGCTATTCCTGAAAAACAGTAATAACCAACATTCGAATAGCCTGAACACTGCACTAAAATGTCCAAGAAAGCCCTAAAAAAGCAAAATAACTAATAAAAACGTATTAGTATAGGGATGGGTGACTTGGTTTTATAAACAGTGATCTACCACAAAAATCAATTCAACCAAATCCAATCTTATCTTCTATTACTAACTTCTAATCTAAGAATAGTATGCCTTGAAATTAACATCCTAAGTAGGAGTAGGAATCTGCAACTAACCTTGCACCAAAATCTTTAAAATTTATGTCTTTTGATCCAATCATCCCATTTTATAATTTATCCTAAGGTAAAATATTCAACAAATATTCAAGACAATAATGCATAAACTCATCACTATCTTATTTTTAATAAGAACACCCAGAAACCTCAATGTTCAAAAACAGGAGTATTTTTAAAATAGCGCTTCTCATGTAACAGTATGACCCATAACAGAGTTCAGTATCCTAAAATGAAAGCTGCTGTTAAGAACAAGCACCTGAAAAATCAAGATGTATCTTTGGAACAGGGTTCTGAGTAGAGGCTAACAGAATTTTGAGGTGCTTGACAGAACAAGGCCTAGAATAAACTACTGCTAAAAATAATTAAAGGTGCTTCTGAAAGAGTCTCAGTTGCAAATGAGGAATGGTACTGCAAACTTGAGGAAAGAAGATTCTTGTTATAAAGTGGTACAACTGTATGGTGTTGGGTGGAAGGTAGAAATTGCAAGCAAAGAATATTGTTGTTGGTTGTGGGACTTGAACCAAGGCTTGGGCACTGTCCCAGAGCTTTTTGCTCAAGGCTAGAGCTCTACTATTTTTGAGTCACAGCACCACTTCCAGTTTTCTGGATGGTTAATTGGAGTTAAGAGTCTCAATGACTTTCCTGCATAGGCTAGCTTTGAACCAGCACCTAGCTAAACATGGATATGTTTACCTAAAGAATTTTTTTTTGGGGGGTCCGGTCATGGGCCTTAACTCTGGGCCTGGGCGCTGTCCCTCAGCTTTTCAGCTCAAGGCTAGTGCTCTACCACTTGAGCCACAGCGCCACTTCCGGCTTTTTTTTTATGTGGTGCTGAGGAATGGAACCCAGGGCCTCATGCATGCAAGGCAAGCGCTCTACCACTGAGCCACCTTCCCAGCAACTACCTAAGGAATTTTTAAAGCAATTGTGTAAGAAACAGCCTGGTTTCTCCTTGCTACTTACAGCTACTTACAAAATACAAGAAGAGATAAACGAAGATACTTTGAAAGTCTTCAGCCTACTCATACTCCAAAAAGAAAAGAATTGTAGAGAATACCAACAAAATGGCTAGACAGCAGATGCTGAGATAAGGTGTGTGGCTTATTGATCCAACCAACTACCTCAACAGAGATGCTGTCAGCTTAGTCTGAAAGGGACACGTACAGAAGGACAAGACACAAGGGAGAAGATAGCCACGTATCTGGAGTGACGCATTTACAAGGAATGCCACGGACTACCAGCAAATAACCACAAGCTAAGAGAAAAAATAAAGGATCACTCCCTTCCATACTTCAGAAGCAGCAGGGCCCTACTAACCCCTTTCAGACATCCAGCGTCCATAACTGTGGGATTATGATAAATTTCTGTTGTTCTAAGATACTGTTTTGTTTGATGAAAGCCTTAGTCGATAGAATATGGATTATAAAAAGGAATTTAACAATCTCTTATAAAAAAGTAAGCAATGCTGGGTACCAGTGGCTCATGCCTGGGAGGCTGAGACCTTAGGATCACGTTTCAAAGCCAGCTCATACAGGAAATCCCATGAGACTCATCTCAAATTGTCAAAAAAAAAAAAAAAAAGCCCAAAGGGGAGCTGTGTTTCAAGTTGCAGAGCTCTAGCCTTGAACACAATAGCTCAAGGACAGTGCCCAGGCTGAGTTCAAGCTTCAGGACCAGGACCAGCACATACACATAAAAAAGTAATTTTAAAATATAGCCAGGTGCTGGTGGCTCCCAGCTGTAATCTCAGCTATTCAGGAGGCTGAGATCTAAGGATCGTTATTCAAAGCCAGCTCAGGCAGGTTAAGTCCATGGACTCTTATCTCCAATAAACTTACTGAGAAAAAGCTAGAAGTGGCACTGTGGCTCAATTGGTAGAGTGCTAGCCCTGAGCACAAAAAGGCTCAGGTACAGCACCCAGGCCCCAGAGTTCAAGCCCCAGAAGAAGCAAAAAATAAAAATAAATAAAAAGCTCCCTCAAATGGAACCAAATCTCTAAAGGATATTCAAATAATAATGACAAGTAAAATAAGGAAAGTATAAATTTTTTTTTTTTTTGGGGTCTGGTCGTGGGGCCTGAACTCTGGGGTCTGGGCGCTGTCCCTCAGCTCTTCAGCTCAAGGTTAGCGCTCTACCACTTGAACCACAGCGCCACTTCGGGCTTTTTTTCTTTTTGCTTATGTGGTGCTGAGGAATCGAACCCAGGGCCTCATGGCATGCAAGGCAAGCACTCTACCACTGAGCCACCTTCCCAGCCCTGAAAAGTATAAATTTTAATAGGAAAGTATTTTAAAGATGGAAAAAAGTTTTGAGATCAATCCCACTGTTGAGACAAATATCCCGAAGAATGTATACTCATGTAATTTACTAGCTTTAGGAAGTCATCCTACAAACGGATTAAACAATAAAACAGGTATGAGATAGCAACTAAATAACATGAATTCTAATTCTCTGCAGGACTCTGCACAATTCCCTGGAGTTTTAGGCAGAGGAAATGATTTTATTCTGAGTGGATCAGTGCTTCAACAGGAAACATCCTTTATACATTGGGCTCCTAGAATTATAAACAGAAGATAAAAACCTATAAAACCTAGAAACTTAACTAAAAACTACCCCAGAGCTGGTGGCTCAACCTGTAATCCTGGCTAGTGAACAGAGTTTCAGTTTGAGGCCAGTCTGCACAGAAAAAATTTACAAGACTCCCATTTCTATAGTGGGAAGCTGGACCTGGCAGCAAGCAACTGTAAGCTCAGTGATGATGTGAAGCCTGAAGTAGGCAGATCAAGGCTCAGAGCCATTCCACAGAGGAAACAAGATTCTGTCCTAAAAATAGCTAATTAACACAAGGCTGGAGGTATGCATCAGCAGTAGCGTACCAACCTTCCCTGTGTAATACTGAGTTCAAACCCTCTCACCCCCTCCCAACAAACCCTCAAACAAACATGTCCCAAGCAAAAATCCAACATCAGATGTGTGCCAGTAATTTTTTTCTTTCTTCTTTGTTTGTACACCAATTTCCAGGCTTGAAGTCAGTACTTAAGCCTCACTCAGCTTGCTTGGCTTTTTGCTAATTAGAGATGAAATATCAAGACTTTTTCTGCGTAGGCTGGCTTTAAATCACTCCGATTCTCTGATCTCAGTCCCCTAAAGAGTTAGATTACAGGAGTGAGCTACTTACCAGTGACCTACCTACAACTTAAGTCTTTTTTTTTTGAGTCCGGTCGTGGGGCCTGAACTCTGGGCCTGGGCCCTGTCCCTCAGCTCTTCAGCTCAAGGCTAGCACTCTACCACTTGAACCACAGCGCCACTTCTGGCTTTTTTTTTTCTGCTTATGTGGTGCTGAGGAATGGAACCCAGGGCCTCATGCATGCAAGGCAAGCACTCTAGCACTGAGCCACCTTCCCAGCCCACAACTTAAGTCTTAAAAGGAAAAAAAAAATGTCTTCAGGCTGCCAAGTAAAACCTTAGATTACTTTATAAATGGAATTAGCTTCTTCAGAGCCAGGTGCTGGTGGCTCACACCTGTAATCCTAGCTACTCAGGAGGCTGAGATCTGAAAATTACAATTTGAAGCCAGCCTCGGCAGGGAAGTCTGTGACTCTCATCTACAATAAACTACTCAGAAAAAGCTACAAGTGGCACTGTGGCTCTGTGGATGAGCACTAGCCTTGAGTAAACAGCAACTCAGGAAAAGTGCACCCAGGCCCTCAGTTCAAGCCCCAGGACAGGCACCCAAAAAATAAAAAAATAGCTTACTCAAAATAGGAAGCCAAGACAAGCAGCTGGTCTTCTCTTAAAAACAAGACATTTTCCAAAGATAGAGAATTGAGACATATGAAATCACCACTATGAAAAGAATGGAAAGAAGAAAAACATTACAAAATAAGAAAATGGGTTGGATGTGGTGGTACTTGCCTATCACCCCAGCTATTTGGGATATAAGAGTTCAGAAATATTACTACAGTTTGCAGCCAGCCCAGGAAAAAAAGTCAATGAGATCTCTTTCCAACCAAAAAAACAGGTATTGTGGTAATCTGCAGGCCCCACTATGAGGGATTGTGGGCTGGCCCCAAGCAAAAACAGAAGACCCTCTTTGAAAAATAAAGCAAAAAGGGCTTGGAGTATAGCATAAGTGATAGAGTACCTGTCTATGAAGCATGAAGTCAGTCAAACCCAGTAATATAAAGCTAGGTGCTGATGACTCACACCTTTAATCCTGGCTATTCAGGAGGGTGAGAGCTGAGGACGGGGGTTCAAAGCTAGCCAA